AAATTTATAAGAATTATAAAATATAATCCAATTCTTTGCTTCTTTTGTTGAAACTTTGATTGAGTGGCAGTTTTGGTTGAAATTAACCCAAATTTGTAGAAAGAATTGTCGAAATTATGTAAAACAGCACTCATTTTTATAATGCAAAATATGTAATAAAATTATAACATTTTATATTTTTATGAAACCTAAACTAATTTTGCACTTAATTTGCACAAAATAAAATTTCTATTAATTCATGTAATATATGATTGTATTCATAATTTTTATTTTTAACTTATGTACAAATTGTAATGTCTTCTTTACATATAATCTCTTTGTTATACAAAACAAATAAAGTAATTTATTATTAAATCATTAAACATACAAATAATTGCACAATTATGTAAAATGATATAACTTAGTCATTAAGTATTATAAATTATATATTATTTTGCATTTAATCACAAGTTTCTATAATAAGACAACTTATTATATATTTTATAGTATAATAAATTACTTAAAACAAAATAATAATTGTACATTGCATTAATTTTATTACAAAGAAATACAAATAATGATAATACAATTATAAATAATTTTATGTCATAAATATATATTTAAATTTAATATAAGTTTTTATTGTATTAAACTATTTTAAATAAACAGAAAGATTTGAAACAAAACTAATATAATCGAGAATATTTAGCAATTATTTAAAATATAAATGAGTTTCAATTGTATCTGTTAATTGTGTCGTTAATGAAGGGTATATTGAGAGAAACGGGCGCCCAATACATCTCAGTGATGGGCCAATTGCAATACGCTGTGTCCGCACCACTCGCTATACCGATCACATAAGCTCTTGTCTGCTCCCAATCCGTCCACTTAATCAATGGACCGCCAAAATCACCCTAAATATCAAATTATTGATAATTAATTGAATAAATGATAGGTTTAGTGGTGACTAACGGGACAGAGGCGGGCGTGTTGTCCGTTTGGGAATTGAGGGAAACGATTATTACTGCACAACATATCCCGACATATCGTACGGTTGGGCTCTATTGTCACTTCACCCTTACGGAGACTGTCTGTCCGGTATATCTGACTTCTCCCCCCACTTCTGTCTTCTTCTCCATAGAAACCCCAGCCGTAAGCCATAGCCGTCTGCCGAGTGTTGAAATCCGGATATAGAATCCAGCTTTGGGCAGACATATACTGTTTCCCATAAATAACCGTTGGTTTTGATATATCCGCTGAAGTCGTTTCATATCAATGTCATGACTGATACGATAGACAGCGATGTCGTGAACATTGATGGGATCTTTAAAGCTCCGGTACAGCGGGTGTCGAAACACTTCATGGCTGTAAACGCGAATGGATTGTCCGCCTTCTGACATAGTTGTCTGTCCGACATATACACGGATTTGTGGCAATACATCACTGTTTGATGTGTAGCTATTTATTTACCAGTTTTTAATTAGATATTTGTAAACACAGTATTTATGGGAAACAATATCTACTTGAGATTACAAGAGGCGGCGGTTAATATCCATCGTTTGTTAAGTAAAACACCCGAACAAAAGGTGGACAGAAGAGGAGGCCATTTGACTCCTGACAGGGGTGGGCCAAAAATACCAGGTGTTCCCACCCAATCCAGGTGTTTTGCATATTTGATTTGCACGACCCACGGGGCCTCTCCCCACGTGACAGCCCACGCACCCCATAAACGTGATGTCGGTTCCGGTTTGTATGCATTAATACTGAAGTGCATTTTACCCATCAGTTGATCCAATTTCATGAAATTTCACAATTTTACCAATCAGTTTCTGAAAGTATGTGCGAAACATTTGACGGGAAAATCAATGGGAACTTTAGCGGGAAAGTATCGGAGACCACAGCTGTCGCCCGTTATGTTCGGATAGTAACCGAGTTTCCAACTGTTTATACCTGTATTCCCTGTAATATAAAGAATTTATGTTATTCGCAGTCATTTATTTAATATCTACAGCAATTTGTTTATACATTTAAACAAAATCAATACAAATACATATTTAAACATTTCGTGTATTTATTTCAATAGATCTGTTGTTTGAATTTTCAATATTTTTAAACAAATACTAAATATTTGAAATGATTTATAAATTTAATAAATGTGTGATTATTTCAATTGTTGTAACACTCTTTCATTAATAAAGCAATCTATTAGTAAACCTACGATAAGGTTGGGTTTAAAATGTTTAAATTGTTGTATTTCTTGATGAATTAAGAGTGGGATTCGCAAAATGCATACACAATTAAAAATACTATATAATTAAATACAAAATGAAATTAAGTCAATATTATTTTAAAAATTATTTAGTTTTTATATATAAATAGTTTTTTATACGGTATTGAATGAAAACATTAAATTACAAATAAATTTTTGTGAAATAAATAAAAATATAAAGTTTAAAATATTTTGTGAATTATTGAATCACGGTTTGAGAGGAATGGGCTCTTCATCGGTGTCTTGACTATAGGTGTCGTCAACTGTCGACAGATTCTTCACTTCATTTGAATCGACAATATTTACCAATTCGTAGATTAATATCCAAAACGCGGTAAACACTGAACAGCAGAAGAATGTTTTGCTGAACCAAAACAACGATTCCATCGACTGGACACTCGTCTCGCTGTCTAACAGTATCTGCGATGAAATGATGGCAAACACACCGATCAGTGCATTGACCACAAAAAGCAAACACCAAAAGTAAGCGCCGCTATTCATCAGTATATTTTCGGTCAGTTCTCGGCGTTTAAGACATTTGATGGCATAAATCAAACCCAAACCAATGGGTCCTCCCATCAGAAACGACACGATTAGCGATAAAATGTATTTCACTAAATGATAGCCAATTCTTTCGATAAATATAGTGAAACAAATGAATCCAAACATCGCATAGATTCCCAACAAAATCCACACGATTTGAAACCACGAGAGTTGTGTCCTAACCGATAGATTGTCGGGAATTGTTGAGTATTGGCTCATTTGGTCCCGATTTTCATACGACATCTCCACTAAACTAAACGTTTGCTTATTATCTGTGATGTAATTGTGGACTAAGTATTGGCGTTCATAAGACCCGCTGTTATCGGCTTTTTTAGTGGTCGTAACCGATAGACCGCAGAGAAAAATAGTCAACTCTTCGGGTCCTGAATGACAGCAACAGATTTTGTCCATTTCGGGCAGTTTTGACACTCGAAACATATTAATCGGTATATCGTTTAGAAATTTCTCTTCCATTACTTGAGTCTTAAATGTGAATTCAGGCCCTGTTTTACACAAATAGACATTGAATTCATTTAAATGTTTGCATAAATCATTAAAAATTAATTTTCATAAAACAAAACTCTGTTACCAATGCTCTCCTTATCTGATGTAAAGAATTCAATACTAATTGTCGAGTTTTGGTTCAAATATTGCGATACATTACACAAACGTAATGTGATTTCATAGCAAAACTTAGCGCTGTTTAGATTACATTTACAAAAAATGTTTAAATTAGTAATAGATTTGTTGGTAAGTAAACCATAAATATAGGGAACAATCAAAAGGGCTGTAATTATTGTCCAAAAGGCGAGTATTATGTAAAACAAGAGCTGCTCTTCAGTATCGCAATAACAACTCAATTGATTGTTATAAGCCATTGGGAAACACGTGTCCATTGAATAACCAATTTTGGATGTCTTGAGTTTTTTGGCACAAAAAACAATATACGAGTCGTTGATAGAGATGTCTGTGGTATAGAAGGCTTGAGATGACTTGTTTTTGGTCACTACTTGCAGTCCTATCGACGAGTTTGTATCCAACAAATGGCTCACAATTGCGATCTCTTCTGAATGTTGTCGCAAACGAATCGCTTTTTTCGGCAAACTTTGAAAACCCGATGTTTTGACAATTATTTTGTACTCATTTCCTAATGTGGTGTTTGATGTCTCTCTCAACCAAACAATAAGCAAGAATTTGGCGTTCATTTCGTTTGAATACTTTTGCGTAAAATTGATATTGAATTCCATGTTTTGAATTGAAATCAATTTAGTAATAGTTATGTAAAGAAATAAAAACTCTCTGTTTTCTGTCAAAAATGATGATATCTTTGCGGGAAATTGTGTTGAATTTTGGTATCTATTTTGACAATACTTTGAAGTCAAATGAAATTTTCTTTTATTAGTTTCGGTAATTGCGGCCAACTTTTTAAAGTCATGGCTTTGAGTCCACTCTCCATAACAAATAGATTTGATGTAATTGTTTATGATTTGAGTTTTATTGCAAATCACTGGACAGACACTAATCAAAACAACAAATAGTAAGATCTTTGGCAACATTTTTAACGTTTAAACTCCAAATGAAAGTCAAAATAGAGTAAAATGTTTTTCAAACTCTAATGAATCCGTTAGAAAATAACTAATTAAAAATAGGATTTGAATTCATTGTCAAATTAATCATTATTGGTGTCACGAAAGTTAATTGTTAAAAATAATACTCGAATACATTTTGTGTATGAATTAAATTAATTACTTTAAAACAGTGTAAAGAATAATACAATTGAAATACAATTAACGGCTATAATAACGATAACTGACATAATTTGCTGACTTTTTGTAACTAAAATCCCAAATAAAATGATTGTATTTAAAGGACTGATAATATTTGCGCCAAAATGTGTACAATATTTGCCCAAAAGATATATCAAAATGAGAGCCATTCAATTGGATCCGAGTCTGCGAACGAGTTAATGAAATTTTCTTTTATTAGTTTCGGTAATTGCGGCCAACTTTTTAAAGTCATGGCTTTGAGTCCACTCTCCATAACAAATAGATTTGATGTAATTGTTTATGATTTGAGTTTTATTGCAAATCACAGGATAGAAGACACTAATCATAACAACAAATAGTAAGATCTTTGGCAACATTTTTAACGTTTAAATATGAAATGAAAACTTGACTTAAAGTTAAAGTAAAATGTTTTTCAAACTCTAATGAATCCGTTAGAAAATAACTAATTAGAAATAGGATTTGAATTTATTGTCAAATTAATTATTATTGGTGTCATGAAAATTAATGTTTAAAAATAATACTGGAATACATTTTGTGCATGAATTAAATTAATTACTTTAAAACAGTGTAAAGAATAATACAATTGAAATACAAATAACAAATACAATTAACGGCTATAATAACGACAACAACTGACATAATTTGCTAACTTTTTGTAAAATTTTAGGGTTTATTTTACTAACATAAATTTCCTGACTATTATAAACGCGGTTTTACACATGTTATAAACGGGTTTTCTATATAGTTTTACTCTCGGTAAGTTAACCTAGGCTCAGACGCTTGCTCACCATGGATTGGCGTCAATACAGACACATCTGTAAAGAGATATCTGATCGACGAGTGCTCTACTGTTCCGCAACTCTTCTTCAAAGTGACCAAAACTTATCACAAAAGGCGTGCCTTTGGTTGTCGTCTGGTATTAAATGAAGACGACGACCACATTATAGACGGACGAGTGTTGAGTAGATTTAGATTAAGTGCTTATAAATGGTTTAATTGGCGAGAAATTGATGACAAAGTGGACCACATTTCCAAAGGTTTCCTATTTATAGGAATCAAACCCAAAGACATTGTCATGATTTTGGCCGAAACACGACTCGAATGGTTGCTCTCGTGTCAGGCGTTGATGAGATTGGGATCAACTGTTGCCACACTCGA